GAAATAGAAATTGAAGGGGGTGTGTCCTGGACAGGACTGAGAACAGTCGCATGTGCTTCTGCTAGCTCTGTGAAAAATCTGCCCTCGCGCTGTAATTAAGCCCGCAAAACTGGTAATTCTAAGATTGCACAACATGTCCTATGACAAGGGAAAACAAACCGTGGACAAAACGGACAAACACCACTTTTTTGGAGTGAAATCCGGACATCTAAAAGCCGCACTGCTTCAAGAAGACAGCCAAGATGGCGCCGGCACAGATTTGGAGCAGGCCCAAGGGCCTCCCTCACTAGATCCATCACTCACCAAGGAATTGCTGCAAAATATGAGCAATGGCATCCAAACTGCAAGCCAAAATCCAACAATCCTTTTTTGATCTCTGCAACGACATCCAAGAACTGGGCGCCTGCATCTCCTCGATAGAAAACAAAATGGCGAACCATGCGGAGGCTCATACCGATCTGACCACCATAGTTGAGGAGCTAAGAGCACAGGTGGAGAGCTACGAATCTAAACTACGAGGCTCATACCGATCTGACCACCATAGTTGAGGAGCTAAGAGCACAGGTGGAGAGCTACGAATCTAAACTGGCTGACATAGAGGACCGGTCCAGGCGTAATAACCTCCATGTCAGGAGGGTATCAGAGGAGATAGGCTCACAAGGCCTCCAGGCTCATATTATAGAGTTGTTTCGCGTACTGGCTCCTGACATGCCCCAGGTCATGCTGCTCATGGACCAGATCCACCAGGTTGCCAAACCCTCATTTCTGCCGCAAGACCTACCGAGGGATACAATCCTGAAGATGCACTACCACCACATCAAAGAAATGGTTCTAAAATCCAGCAGAACGAAGACAGACTTACCTATAAAATTCCATAATGTCAAAATCTTCACAAACTTATCTGCACCTACCTTGAGGAAGAGAAAGACATTCTTACCCATCACAAGCCTGCTATGTGACCAGCACATTATGTACAGATGGGGATATCCTACACAATTGATAATCCTGCGCAATAGCAAAGTTACTACAATCAAAACACTGAAAGACGGCCTATGCACACTCAACAGGTGGGGCCTACAGATACCTGAAACCATGGATGCATGGCATCGCTCCCCAAGACTCCAACAGGAACGGGAAAAAAAAGGAAATAGAGCTAAGACCACATCTAAAAATAAGGACTCTGTGCTTCTCACAGCCGCAAGTATTAACTACACTTATGTACTACACCACACAATTAGATAAACTAGAATACTACATTTAATTTTTAAAATCCTTATGGATTCTCCACACTTAGATTAGCAAACACACTGGGCGGACGGACATCTAACAAACTTGAGGGCCGATGCAGCGGTAGCTCAGGCAGGACAGTAGCTAACTACTTCCACCCATGAGGTGCCTAACTAGGTATTGAGCCACTAAGATAGCTCCACTTGTTACACTTTTTTGGTAATGTTATTTTCTCTTTTTGTTTTTCACTTGTGCTTTCTTTCTGACTTATGCAATAATGATGCTACTGTGCACCTGTCAGTTGGGCAAGGTGGGAAACCAAATTGCTGTTAAATCCACTCTTGCCGGGTTTGCGTGAGTGCATGTTAGACTGTGTTCCCTCACACATTGCCCCTGATACACATGTAGTATTAGGATACTGCATGTGTACCAGGGGCAATGCATGCGGGAACACGGGAGGAGATGTCGCTCGGCTCTAAGCTGCTGTGAAGGGCGATGCCTTAATTGATTTTAATGTACTGGTTACGGTTTGTCAGGATGGTGCCCTTTAAACCCCCATGAGAATATACAGCAACAATGTAAGGGGGCTTAACATCTCAATGCAGAGACACCACCTAGGAAGAGACCTAAAAACCCATAGTGCAGATGTGGTCTGCTTACAAGAAACCCATTTCAAAGCTGAAGCCCATCCAACAATTTTCAGCAACACCTATCCACACCAATTTCACTCCACTTACCCCACCAAGTCCAGAGGGGTGTTGATACTGATTAGCAAACAAATCACATTTGAACTGATGACACAAGAGATAGACAAAGAAGGGAGATTCACTATAATCATTGGCATACTTAACAATGTTCTCTACACCATAGAGAACATTTATGCTCCCAACACGGAGCAGCACAATTTTATACACAAAGTCCTCCAAAGGCTCACCTGTATTCAACAAGGTATTGTGATAATCTGTGGAGACTACAACCACGTGCTAGACCCTGGCCTAGACACTACACTACCCCTCCAAAGCCCCAGACAGATAATGTAATGCTCTTGCTAAACTTTTGTTGACACACCACTTGTATGACATGTGGAGAAACACACACACAGACGACCACAGACGGTCCACAATACATACTCAATAATTGACAGATTCCTAATGAGAGGTTCAGACTTAAACCAAGTAGTGACTGTTCGATAGGACAAATATGGTCTGACCACGCACCGATCACTGTGACACTGAAAGACAGGTATGACTATAAAAACCGTACCCCACTCAATGAGTGCCTCCTACATGACCATGAATTCGCCAAGACACTCTCTGTGGATATTCAAAAATATTTCACAGACCACACAAGCCACACTATATGGCTAGCCCACAAGGCCGTAATCAGAGGGACACTCATCAAAAGGGCATCCTACCTACACAAAAGAACTAAAGTCCAGTTATTGCACTGGCAAAAAGAGCTATACAAATTAACGACCCAATACCAAATTGATCCACCACCGTATTTACTATCCCAAATCAAAAAGATCAAACCAAAAATCCACCAACAAGCTCTATATAAAGTAGGATTCAACTTAAGAAAGATGAAAGCCACGCAATATTCACAAGGAAACAGAACCGGAAAACTAATAGCCAACAAATGTAAACAAAAACAAGCTACCCAAACGATCGCATAATTAACATCACAGACTGGCCACAAACTCACGTCCCCAAAAGATATAAGTAATGAGTATTCCACCTACTACTCAGACCTATATAAACTGAACCGTGACATGAACACCCACCAACCCACACAGGAGGACGTAACACACTATTTAAACAACAATTGGATCTTGCGACCCCAATAACATTGATGGAAGTTTAACTATTAAATTGCTACCCAAAGGTAAATCACCCAGTCCAGACGAGTTTGATAATTCTTATTACAAAAAATTTCAAGACAAACTAGCCTCACAATTTACATAGCTCTTACTTTAAAGAGAGATCAGAGAAGGGCTATTAAACTGGTTCATGGATTACAGGATACAACTTACAAGGAAAGGTTAAAGGATCTTAACATGTTTAGCTTGGGGGAAAGACGGGATATGGTGATATGATAGAAACATTTAAATACATAAAAAGAATCAACACAGTAAAGGAGGAGAGTATATTTAAAAGAAGAAAAACTAATACAACAAGAGGACATAGTCTTAAATTAGAGGGGCAAAAGTTTAAACATATCAAGAAGTATTACTGGATGCATGGAATAGCCTTCCAGCTGAAGTGGTAGAGGTTAACTCCGTAAAGGAGTTTAAGCATCTGTTGGATAGGCATAAGGCTATCCTAGCTATAAGATAAGGCCAGGGACTAATGAGAGTATTTAGAAAATCGGGCAGACTAGATGGGCCGAAGGGTTCTTATATGCAGTCACATTCTATGCTTCTAAATTGGCAAGTAACATATAATATTGCTACACAATTTATCAGAGATTGTGATATAATGTCTGAATGATAAGCGTCAACGTTACTCTAGATCTGTGTTGCAATTTTTGTTATTGTGACTACATTTATAGATGAAGTCCAAACATATTTTATGAAAACATAGTTTTGAAAGAAAATTGTCCTCCTTTCTGATTTATGAGCTGTGATTAGAAAATATAATTTTATATTCTAGATCTAAGATGTGCTCCATAAATCTGGACAAATAAATACTTTCTTCAGCAGAAAAATCTATCTGTATGTCTCTGTCACCTAAACTTGAAGCCATCTGTGTGATTTGAAGAAAAAAAAAAAAAAAACAGTAATGTGGGGTGCACCAAATAAGAAATATAACATTTATGGTTGAATAAGCAAAAACAAAAATGCAAAAATTGCTTGGGTCTTTAAAGGAAAAGCATCTTGCACAATACAACTGTGCTTGTTGTGGTGCTAGGAGGACAGTTTGAAACTTACATGGTGACCATGGTGATTCCCAGCGTTCTTCCCAGAGTTCGAGAAGCCAGGTGTCAATTCTCTTCATTACAGCTACTCATTCGGTGAGAGCACTCTGCTAACTCTCTCAACAGTGAATGCACATATACATCGGCATAAGGCTTCTCTTGCTTGAGAAGACCAGAGGCAGTCGCCGGACCCAGTAAAATTTCAAACGCATAATTGCAAATTGTGTAATAGGGGAAAACAGTGTGTGTTGTTGAAAATAATTCAATAAAATGTGTTGTATGTTTTTCATTATCTTGATATCATTTGCCTGCTTGTCTCTCTACCTGCCTGTCTATCATTTATTTATTTTATTGATTTATTTTTAGTTGCACAGTTGGTGACCTTCAAGCAAAAATTCATTCTCTGGAGAAGACAAATTCTAAGTTAATTGAAGAGGTTTGTTAATATTCTGAGTGACAACATAAATACATAATAATGCTGAATAAAGTAGAAATATTTTTGTCTATTTAGAATTAGGTTCCCAGATTTTTAAGGCATACTTCTCTCTAAGGTCTCTCAAGGCTTGTACCTTAGCATTCAAATAAACACTGCATAACGTACACAAAAATGTAAATGTATAAATTACCTTTATAAATAAAATTTTAATAAAAAAATAAAATATTTTTATATGTATGTATGTGTATATATATATATATATATATATATATATAAAGGCTTGGCCTGTAATTGTTGGAGGCACTTGAAACCCTATTTAAACCCAGTGAGCCCCTGCTTACCTGTCGTCAACGATCTCGGAAGTGCTTCTGTTTACTTCCGGGTTGCTGGACCCTGACGTCATTTTCCCGCCCGCCGGCAGTCTGTTTGCAAAACTTTCTCTGCTTACTGAGTTCGTGAGTATAACAAGGGAAGCCAGCATACGAACGGCTAACTGTAAATTATACTCTATCATTCCGTACGCACCCCATACTTGTAATTAACTCACACGTTCGTTTAAACAATTTCATTTGGCTAAATCGCTCATGTTAATCTTTCATTCACATACCGCTACAATTCATGCTAGCTGGCATTCGTTTAAACTTTCGTCTGCACAGTTCCATTTATACAAGTTCAATTTATACAATTTATCCGTTCACATAAACTCTTATGTTTACCCATTAGTATACACATAGCAGTCGTTCGTGTCAATCACACTTTCGTACAATCTTTCGTTCATTGGTATAAACTGCCACTTATTTCCGTATGTACTTTCGTATGCTCTGTTCGTTTAAACTGTCGTTTTCATATCCTGCACACTTTTGTTTATTTCCACGCTGTCAACTCACTCATACCTAGCAGTACAAGTTCATTTCTGTTAAACAGCATCAAGAAAGCATGTTTCATTCAATTTAAACGGCATTTCGTGTTAAATTTCATATACTTTAAAAAAGTCTTGCATTAAACCGTCATTTTCATTTTATTCTTGTCTATATTAAAACGAACAACAGCAATATCCTATACAGAATGTCTAAATAGCAATTAAGGTTATATATTCACTGTGTACTTTTCCTTAAAACTTAGATAAGGTACTTTTATTGGTATATAAGTATGTTAAATAGGTTTATATTTATGCTCCGCTTCTGTCTCCTGCATTTTCATGTTCCTAATTACACAATGCAGTATATATATGTGATGACAATTAAGTATGTTTTATTAAGCCTTCACCAGCTAAAAAAGCTACCAACATCATAAATCCTATTCACCTCATACCTCAGAATCTCAAACGTGACATAATAGAGGGGAAGGACATTAATTTGGCTTCACTACTGATAGCATCTCAAGCCGTTGTCAAGAACAGGTCATATACGTTTGATGACCTGTCAGTAGTTATGAAGTCTAGAGATCCAAGACTCAATAGGAAACCTTCCTGCGCCATATGCTCATCCGCAGCCCACACGATCAATTTTTGTCCTGAAAACATAGCAATCCCCTCTACCAGTAACGCCAACGCTGATTATCAGTCCAACACAGCCCAGAGAGAATTGAGAGACAAATTAGGCAGGCCAATCGTTTTTTGGGGTAAAGCACAAGTCTGCAATAATTCCAATGCCAGGTTGGTTGTAGTTATAGTGTTTGTAGGCTTCTTCAGTTGAACCTTCAGTCAGACCAAAATATCAGTCGACCCATTACAAACAAAAATACACACACTCTCCACCACCCAAAAAATATACCACCAACTCATATAAGAGAAATTTTTCACCCAAACCCCAAAGATCCAGATATATCAATGACCGAATTGAGCATCCCAAATCACCCAACATTCCTTACCACTCTAATAGATACCAACTACTATCAATTGACTCCGAATTCGAAAATGAGGATCATTTTTTAGAAATTCGTACTCACCCAAGCACCTTAAATCAAACACCTCACCCGTCACGATCACAAAAAAGAACCCTAAGCTTAGAGGAAGAAGAAGTGGCAGACGGGAACAAGAGAGAAAAACTAGAAAGACAATAAGTCCCCCCAAAAACTTAAGTAGTGGGATTTTTAATCTTTCGCAAAAAACTCTCACTATAGCACAATTGTCGGTTTTAAATAAAGGTCTCAAATTCGCTCCAACCAATTCTTTCAAACCCTTCGAAGCTTTTATTGACATTAACAAGTTTGTCCGCAAAGCAACCCTAAAACGTTATTTTAATGAGAAAACAGAAGAAAACTTTTAATAATTCCACTGATAATAGTGCAATTTTACCTCTTTCCTCCTCTCCAAAAAAACATATTATTAATACACATTTTAAAGAAAAATCCAAATTTTACCCAGCTTTTATGAAGACTGCCCCTCTAACTGTTTTTGAAAAACTAGTCACACATGACCTAAATAAGTTACAAACTAAAAAATATGACATACAAAATTTAACAAATAAAGAAAAGAAAGCACTCAAAGAACTACAAGATGATAATGACATTGTAATAAAACCTTCAGACAAAGGTGGTGGTCTAGTCATTCAATCTAGCGCTATGTATATAAAAGAAGCGCATAGGCAATTAAATGATCCTGATATTTACGAGAAACTTTCATCAGACCCTACAAAGACTATTCAAAACCTCTTTTTAACTTTTCTAAATAAAGGTGTATCTCAAGCTATTTTAACTAAACAAGAGTATAATTTTTTAAATAAAAAATTTCCCAAAATTCCGGTAATATACTTCCTGCCAAAAATACATAAAAATGTTACTAATCCTCCAGGCAGACCAATAGTGTCAGGGATAGGTTCGCTTTTATGTAACCTATCCCAATATATAGACACTCTTTTACAACCTGCCGTTAAAAAAATGAAATCTTATCTCCAAGACTCTATGTCCCTTTTAAACTTTTTAAATGATTTTAAATGGGACCCCAATTTTATTCTGGTCACTTGTGACGTCCAATCACTCTACACAATTATACCTCATAAAGTTGGATGTGAAGCCATTAAAAATATTTTAACTAAGGAAGATAGAATTCCGGAAGAACAGATTGATTTTATTTTAGAGGGTATAAATATTATTTTAAATAATAATTATTTCTGGTTTTTAGATTCTTTTTACCTCCAAAGAAGAGGAACTGCTGTGGGTACCAGGTTTGCCCCTAGCTACGCCAATCTGTTTATGGCAGATTGGGAATCTACAGCTATTTACAATGGAGATAATCTAAGGGCAAACCTGGTCTCATATTTTAGATATATTGATGATTTTTTTTTATTTGGAATGGATCGGAAGACAATCTTATCTCCTTTTTTAATGTTCTTAATACTAATAATAGGGGCATAATTTTAACCCATGAATTTAGTAGAGAACAAATAAATTTTCTAGATCTTAATATATTTATCAAAAATGGTAAAATTAACACAAAAACATTCTTTAAAGAAGTCTGTGTTAACACAGTTATCGATAAGAATAGCTGTCACTATAAACCGTGGCTTGACAGTGCCCCAAAAAGCCAATTCCTTAGGCTACGTAGAAATTGCACAGAACTAGAAAACTTTGAAGAACAAGCTGATGCTCTTAAATACAAATTTATGGAGAAAAATTACCCAGAAAAAGACCTACTCGAAAATATCAATGAAATAAAAAACAAAAACAGAGACAAGCTTTTAAAGTATAAATCCAAAATCAAAAATGACTCTATACCTCTTCCCATCATTTTTAACTACACCAATAAAAGTAAAGAAATTAAAAAGATTATCCAAAAACATTGGCATATTTTAGAACATGATGAAAAACTCTCTAAAATTATTCCAGAAAAGCCAAGTATAATCTTTAGAGGGGCTCCGAACGTTAAATCCATTCTAACCACCAATTTTACCAAAGAATCTAAACCAAGTAATCTTGTATCTTTTTTTCCCCAATCTCTAGGCTTTTATAAGTGCAAGAACTGTATTGTGTGTAAAACAGCTGATCCTACAATGCCACCTAAAATAACAGAATTTACTTCAAATAAAACCAAAACTACTTTTAAAATAAAATAATTTATTACATGTAATACCAAGAATGTCATCTACCTATTGGAATGCCCGTGTGGCTTCCAATATGTTGGTATGACCACTAGATGTTTAAAAATTAGATTAGGTGAACACTGCAGGAATATAAAAAATGGTTATTTAAATCACTCTTTATCAAAGCATTTTTTAATCCACAACAAAGATCCTAAAATGCTAAAATATATAGGAATAAAAAAATGTTCCTTACCCTGGAGAGGAGGAGACATAAAAAACATTTTAGGTAAAACTGAAATGGAATGGGTCTATAAGTTACATACCCTAACACCAAATGGACTCAATGCAGACTTTGATCTGCATAATTTTCTATGATAGATTTATCCAATAATATCCTTTTGTATACAAGTATTTTACTTTATCTAATTTTATGAAATATTATATTACCACATGTCAATTTTAAATTTTTTATGCAGAGTACTCTTTAATACTAACTCAATAATATTAGTATGTTTAACATTATTTTATAGCACCTTATGGTTTTGTTTCTCTATTTTTGATCATTCATGTGAAAAAGTGTGTGGCAGCTTATACTTTATAATATGGCTTTAAATGTTTATTATGCTTCTATTACATTTGTAAAAAAATTTTGCCCTTTGCCATGTATTTAACTTCAGGAGAGCTCAGTGACCGGCAGGACTTCATTTCCCATGAAGCATTGTGCCTCCCAGCCGGCCACCGAGCACTCCGTCTATATCATGAAGTGATCTGCCCAAATGACTATTTGCGCATGTGCGCTGCGTCTCGATCACGTGATCGGGACCAATTGTTATTAAATTCTTTTTAAAGCTTCGTTTTAATAAAATAAAAATACCCCAAGCCTAATTAGGCTTAGATCAATGCATCTATATAGTTTTATAATTAATTTGAAATACTTGCTGGTCCACTTTATCCATAACCTGTTTGTGATTGATGCACTTTATTTGAGTTTATGGAATCACTTTATCATCACATATCAATTTTTAATTCTTTATGCTTAGTGCTCTTTAACACTAATCTAATAATATTATTGTTTTTATCAACACTAGTTTGTTTTATGATATTTTATGGTTCCTTTTAATCATTTATATGCAAAAGTGTGTGGCATCTTACATTTTAAAATATGCTTTTAAATGCCTTTTTTTTTTTTTTCTCTTTTATATTGCAAAAAAAATTGCCCTTTGTTATGTATCTAACTTCAGGAGAGCTCGGTGACCGGCAGGACTTCGTTTCCCATGAAGCACTGTGTCTCCCAGTCGGCCACCGAGCACTCCGTCTATATCAGGAAGTGTTCAGCACAAAAGACGATCTGCGCATGTGCGCCGCATCCCGATCACGTGATCGGGACCAATTGATATTAAATTCTTTTTAAAGCTTCGTTTTAACAAAATAAAAATACCCCAAGCCCAATTAGCCTTACACTAATGTACCTATAACATTTTAAAGTTAATTTGAAATGTATTTAATGTTTTGTTTTAAAACTTGTTTGTGATTGGTGCACTAAAATCTTGGCGCCATATTCAATCTCTGTTTACTTATAAAGTCAGTTCCTTGCCAGGTGTATTGTTCTTTTACCATTTTGAGAAAACCCCAAAGGTGAAACGCGTAAATGGTTTTAATAAGTGTATTTTAATCAATAAAAGTTATTTTTGGTTACCTTTTATACTAGGACCAGTTCTATACTTATTTTGTATTGTAACTTATACACTTTTTCTTACTCCTGGCATTTTATTACAATATATTATTTTATAGTTCTATTTTATTTTTTATTTTTTATATTTCATTTTTTATCCTTCCATTTTTTACTTTTTATTGTTATTTTATCCTCAACTTGAAGTGTATCCCGTCCAAAGAAATCCTTAGGTGGGGATAATTCCACCAGCGCTGTGGCAATAGAGCAGTATCGGTCTGCTCTATTCTTGTAAGTATAACTTATCTTAAGATATTACTGTGTTTTTTCATACTGAGAGCACTATCTACTGTTTTATATATATCCCGTGGAAACCTTTTATACAACACCGGAGAGGCGGACCTATCTTCCCAGCACTAAAGAACAATGCACACCTGAGTAGGTCCTAGCCTACACCAAAGGAATTCCAAGCCGAATAGACGGATCAACCATCTAAGTACATCCGATAGTGGGGATTAAACCACTAAGTGCCTCTTCTCCTAGAGCTGGTTAGAGCTCCAACAAATGTGAGTGAAATACCTTTCCTTTGAATATATACCACATCTGGACATATAATATTTCACCATTGGCAGCTTTTTTCTCCTTTTGTCTTCACATATATGGACTACCTACCATACGGACGGAGCAACACTTGAGGACTATTATTACACTACTGCACATCAGTGAGACTGTTTTTTTATCTATACTTTTATCTATTTGGATGAACTTTACTTGATTTTATCATTATATACATTTTTACTCATTTTTTTTCCCTTTATCTAAGCGCAGCCCTTAATTCCCTTTTTTGCATTTCTTTGTTTCTTATAAGGGTTCGTGAGGGATTCCCTTATTAGGGTTGCTGCTTCACAGAGTTAGCGCAGACTCTTCCCCTTTTCTTTTTCTTCACGTGTGCTCACTTTGTTACAGAGCGCATGCTCTGTACCCTAAAAAATCTTCCACTCCAATAAATGTTCCTAATTTGCAATGCTACCTATCTAATCATCCTTCTTTACATCTGGTAGAATTTCTCACATCTGGTTTTACTAATGGTTTTCACATAGGGTTTGTTACACTCCCCACTGGTATTTTGAAATACCCCAACCTACAGTCTGCACTCACAGATCCCAGCAGCATACAAGAACTCTTACTTCACCAACGGTTTCATGATAGGGCCTTTCACAACACCACCTTTCACCCCATAGGAATCGCCACAGGGAAATTTAACAATAAGAAGAGACTCATTATTGATTTTTCTGCACCTCACTCGTCTAATACACCTAGATTAAATGCACTGATCTCGTCAGAAGATTTTTCCCTTCAGTATGCGAGAATTGACGATGCCATACAAGGCATCATTCATTCTGGGAAGGCTGCCTGGTTAAGTAATTCCGACATTACTAACGCATTTAAATTACTACCCATTCATCAGTCACTCTGGGATCCGCATGGAGTTAAGTGGGAAAACTGCTATTTCACTACAAGACTAACTTTCGGCTCCAAGAGTAGCCCCAAGATACTCGATATCTTCGCCGAAACGTTAACCTGGCTCCTACTAAACATATGCAGATGTCCAGTAGTCATACACTACTTAGACGACTTCCTCACTATTGAACCACACCACTGCAAACCACTTAATCACATGCTCACTCTGTTCAAAGATTTGGGAGTCCCTGTAGCCCCGGACAAAACAGAGGGTCCCAACACAGAGATTACATTCCTGGGGATAACACTCAATTCTGTTTCTATGCAGGCCAGCCTGCCCCAAGAGAAGGTTGATAGAATTCTTTCTTACATCAACATCTGCACATCACAAGGCACTTGCACCAGGAAACAGCTACAGTCACTACTCGGTTCACTCAATTTCGAGATGATTCCACAGGGCAGGTCTTTCATTTCCAGAATCCTCACTCTCTTGCACGGTCTCCCTGACGACTCTACAGCTCTCATAGACGAACCAGCTAGAGCTGATCTAAAAATGTGGCATCTATTCCTGTTAAGACACCTCCAGTGTCTTTAGGCAAAACCGCCATTTAGTAGACCTTCCCCGTCTGCAATATCAGTAACTCCGTTCGCCTAACCTGTAGTGCACGAACCAAATGCAGGGGAAGCGGCAATCTCCCGACCGGGATCCGTGAACGGCTCCAAACTCCCGAACTGCTCCGCATTGAGGGTCAAACAAGATCTGGCTTTACTGTGGGCTACCTGCCCGTATTTATGCAGGTCTCCCACTTGGTGGACACTCCCCTAGGGGACCAAATGGGAGACTTAAATGACAGACAGATATGGGGACATTCCAGACACATAGACACAGTTTTTACCCACAATGCACTATGCTTCCCTCCCCTCTGCCCTGGAGATAATTCCCAAGTAACTCAATTATCTCCAGGACAAAGCCAGTCGCCATTTTAAATATAAAATCATAAAAGATATAAAAATACATAACTTTAAAATAACCGAACATTTCCCATTCGTATCATATATCCCCAGATAGCCTGGATCTGAGTGCATATTATTAGCGAATAGCGGTCAGATCCCACACACATAGTTCAATCGCCATGGAGTCAAAGTTCTTACAGTCCTTCGGTATACGAATGACTCCATGGGAAGGCTATCTGGGTTAAGTCCTTTCATATGCTTCAAACCTCCCGAACGGCAGGTATTCGTATGCTTTCGTGGAGGCAGCCAGGCGTTCCGTTGTTTCAGCGGTGTTTGTCAGAAAAAGTGTCTGTTTTTAGTTCCATAGAAATAGAGCCAAACACCGCTGGGCTTTCGCGTGGTTTAAAATGGCCGCTGCCTCGTGGTCGACATACGACCACCCTGAATTCGTTTAATTGAGAAGTGTCTGCGGTTAACCACAACGTTCTAATTGGGATCAATAGGTTAACCAGCAGCACACTTCTCTCTTGGCTGGCCGTTCGTTTGGTAGGTTTGTTCGGGAAAAAACAGTAATTCGTATGGCTGGGCTATAGAAACAGCCATTTACACGAAAGGGGGCAGAAATAGACAAATCCACCACAATAGTCAGGCAGATGGTTCTGTCACAATTCCTTTCCTCTTGGAATAGCAGGTCGCTATTTGTTCCCCCTATTGCTGACGATTCCCTTGTAATTTGGACTGACACATCAGGTGTCATAGGTTGTTGGTAACGACTAGGTTCACGACTATTGGCCTATTGAGACTACCTCTCTACAAAATTTCAATACCACCTCAGCACTATTCGAGATCTATCCAATTGTAGCAGCTGCACACATATGGGGTAAAGAGTGGAGAGGGTAATCGGTCAGATGCTTTTCTGATAACTTGGTGGGATGTAATCAGAGTTTGCAGGAATCTATGATCTGCAAACTTTCTGTCTTAGGGATGAGCATAACCACCTAGCAAAGCTAGTGGGTATGCGGCAGCCTCCCGGAGTCAAATGCCAGAACTGAAAAGGCTCGTGCTGTGAATCTGCACAGCAACAGCCTTTCAGCCAATCAGGTGATCATGAGAGCCGTGCTGAGCGTGGGAATCCTGATTACCTCGGTTTTTTAAAATTGGGAAACTGCGGATGGTTAGCACATCCCATGAAGTACGAAGGATAAATATTTCCCACAGTGTACAGGAATATAATTAAACATCTAAACACAAAATAAAACGATTCAAGTTTCCAATAGTACAGGGGAACAAGAAAAATGTTTAATGAATCATGAAGACATATAAGATAGACTTGAAACTTTGTATAAAACAGCTGCGCTGAAAAACAAGGCAACAATGTATAGCAAAGAAAGGTATCAAATGAACACTGGTACCATTCATCATAAATTGCAACAAATAAGTTTAATAAAGAGAAAAGAAATGTTGTAACAAGTCCCAGCAAACAGATTCTTTATGCAGGGAGTCCATGAGAATATCAGACTGACGAGACTACTAGCATCAAATCCTCCTACTTAGGTGGATCCTTGGTTTGTTGGTCTTGTCTTGGAGTACGGCTATAGTCTGTAAAAAAACAAAACAGAGACCAGTTATCAAAAGACTGAATAAGCACCAGATAACCTTGTGTTTTAGAAAAACAAACTACCACCAGCAGGCAAAACCCTTAACTTGGAAGAGGGTGGGACGGGCGCTGTTGCTAGGTGGTTATGCACATCCCTGCAAACTCTGATTTTTCCTCCGGGAGGCATAACCACCTAGCAAAGCTAGTGGGTAGAATAGCACACACCTGGTGGTGGTCCTAAGAAACTGAAGGCGTTCAACTTCTGATGGCCTCCAGTAAAATCTAACAAAGGTTTTCCTGGACAACTATCTTGCAGCTTTTCAAGATAATAGGGAGAGGAAGGCCCTTCCCTGCTGCTTTAGTAGCCGAGGCTCCCCTAATTGAATGGCTTTTGAACACGGAAACTTCAATTCCAGCCGAAGACATGGCGGAAAGTATCCAGCCTCTAATAGTATTAACCGTGGCTGGATGAAAGGGATTCCTTGATGTAATGAATAATTGGCTGATATCATTTCTAAATACAGCAGAAAGTTGAAGGTACGATTGTAACAAACTGACTAAACATAAGCCTGGTTCTGAAAGATCTTGGACCAAGTCCAATTCTACCGGACCAGGAGAAAAATTGGATATTTTTTGTCTACCTTTTAGTATAATATGGAAACCTCCCGGGGTGCTGAACCAAGGGTCTGAAATATGGATTTGAGTTAACTCTGCTCCTCTAGCTGCCAGGGCCAAGGACAGCAGAGAAGCCAACTTAATAGCAGTCCATCTTAAATCAATTTTAGCATTATCCAAAGACTTTAGGAAATTTAATAAGACATCTACATCCCAAGTAGATTTGTAGCGTGGGTTATATGGGCGGCAGACGGATAACCCTTTTAGTAATCTCAAATACAGGGCATCCTGAGTAAGGTTGGGGATCAGGAAATTTAATGCAGATTCATAGGTCTTGATTGAATTGACAGATAAACCAGAATGGAA